GACAGGTCATTGTCTGAAGGGAACAGAAGGCCCAACAGACCAGACCCACTTCTTAGGGAAGTCTGCTGCCCCCCTAGGGCCCAGGTTAAAGATGTGAAGAGAAAGCTTCCTACCCTGGTAGGGCCCTCAGATTATTATCCGCTATTGATTTTTCAGGTAGGCAGCAATGAAGTTGCTACAAGAAGTCCGAGGGCAATCAAGAAAGATTTCAGGGCCTGGTTAAGGGATCAGGAGCACAAGTAGTGTTCTCCTCTACCCTTCCAGTTGCAGGGAATGATGAGGGAAGAAACAGGAAGAGAAAGCTGACCAATACCTGGCTCCGAGCCTGGTGTCACCAACAGAATTTTGGGGTGTTTTTTATCATGGATCAGTCTACACAACACCAGGCCTGCTGGCAACAGGTGGGATACACCTGTCTCAAAGGGGGAAAAGGATCTTTGCACAGCAGTTAGCAGGGCTCAATGAAAGAACTTTAAACTAAATTTGAAGGGGAAAAAGGGATAAAACCAGGCTCACTAGAGATAAGCCTGGGGGCAGCATGCCGATGTTTGAGGGACGGTGTGCTAGTGAGATCCTTCGGTCTGCCGTCTCAGTGGAGGCAGGGGATGGAGATCTATGTAGCAGCAAAGATGCAAGGGTTATTGATGTGTTAGAAACCACGGAAGCACCTGAGAACAGTCACATAGGAATTAGGGCTTCTCCTCAAAAAAGGTGGTGGAATCAATAGCCCAACTGAAGTGCATCTATACAAACTGCACGCAGCACGGGCAGTAAACAGGAGGAGCTGGAAGCCATTGCGCAGCAGGAAAACTATGATACAGGTGCCATCATGGAAACCTGGTGGGATGGCTCGCACAACTGGAGTGCTGCACTGGATGGCTATAAACTCTTCAGAAGGGACAGGCAAGGAAGGAGAGGCGGTGGGGTAGCCCTGTGTGTGAGGGAGTGTTTTGACTGTCTAGAGCTTGATGATGGTGATGGGAGGGTTGAGTGTTGATGGGTCAGAATCAGGGGGAAGGCCAACAAGGCAAACAGCGCTGTGGGAGTCTGTTATAGACCGCCCAACCAGGACAAAGAGACAGATGAAATATTCTATAATGATCACTAGCCCATGTTCTCGTGGGGTACTTCAACTTACCAGACGTCTGCCAGAAATACAATACAGCAGAGAGGAAACAGTCTAGGAGGGTCCTAGAGTGCATGGAACATAACTTCCTGACGCACCTGGTGAGGGTGCCAACTAGGGAAGGCACCCGCTGGACCTGTTGTTTGCGAACACAGAAGGACTTCTGGATGATGTGAGGCTGTCTTGGGCACAATGATCATGAAATGATATAGTTTTCGATTCTCAGAGAAGTAAGGAAGGGGGTTAGCAGAACTACCACCTTCGACTTCCAGAGGGCAGACTTTGGCCTGTTTAGGGGCCTGGTTGACAGAGTCCCTTGGGAGGCAGTCCTGAAGGGCAAAGGAGTCCAAGAAGGCTGGACATTCTTCAAGAAGGAAACCTTAAAGGTGCAGGAGCAGGCTGTCCCCCTGTGCTGAAAGATGAGCCAGTGGCAAAGACGACCAGCCTGGCTGAACACAGAGCTTTGGCTGGAACTCAGGAAAAAAAGGAGAGTTTATGACCTTCAGAAGAAGGGGCATGCAACTCAGGAGGACTACAAGGATGTCATGAGGTTATACAGGTCAAAAATTAGAAGGGCCAAAGCCCAACTAGAAGTTAAGTGGCTACTGCCATAAAAGACAATAAAAAGTGTTTCTATAAGTACATTGGCAACAAAAGGAGGGCTAAAGAAAATCTCCATCCTTTATTGGATGCAGGGTGAAACGTAGTGACAAAGGATGAGGAAAAGGCTGAGGTACTTAATGCCTTCTTTGCCTCAGTCTTTAATAGTAAGACCAGTTGTTCTCTAGGTGTCCAGCACCCTGAGCTGGAAGACGGGGATGGGGAGCGGAATGAAGCCCCCATAATCCAAGGGGAAATGTTTAGCGATCTGCTACACCACTTAGACACACACAAGTCCATGGGGCCGGATGGGATCTGCCCAAGGGTACTCAGGGAGCTGGCAGAAGTGCTCACCAAGCCACTTTCCATCATTTATCAGCAGTCCTGGCTAACTGCACTTGACGGGAGGTTAGCAAACAAGACACCCATCTACAAGAAGGGCCGGAAGGAGGATCCGGGGAACTACAGGCCTGTCAGTCTGACCTCAGTGCAAGGGGAAGGTTATGGAGCAGATCATCTTGAGTGCCATCATGTGGCACATACAGGACAACGAGGTGATCATGCCCAGTCAGCACGGGTTTATGAAAGGCAGGTCCTGCTTGACTAACCTGATCTCCTTCTATGACACAGTGACCCACTTAGTGGATGAGGAAAGGCTGTGGATGTTGTCTACCTAGACTTTAGTAAAGCCTTTGACACCATTTCCCACAGCATTCTCCTGGAGAAACTGGCTGCTCATGGCTTGGATGGGTGTACTATTTGCTGTGTAAGAAAAACTGGTTGGATTACCAGGCCCAAAGAGTTGTGGTGAATGAAGTTAAATCCAGTTGGCAGACAGTCACAAGTGGTGTTCCCCAGGGCTCAGTATTGGGGCCAGTTCTGTTTAATATCTTTATAAATGATCTGGACGAGGGGATCGAGTGCACCCTCCGTTGGTTTGCAGATGACACCAAGTTGGGCAGGAGTGTTGATGTGCTTGAGGGTAGGAAGGATCTACAGAGGGATCTGGCCAGGCTGGACCGATGGGCCGAGGCCAGCTGTATGAGGTTTAACAAGGCCAAGTGCCGGGTCCTGAACTTGGGTCACAACAACCCCATGCAACGCTACAGGCTTGGGGAAGAGTGGCTGGGGAGGGGGCCGGCCGCAAAGAGCACGGG